TGTGTCTGTGCTGTGTCTGTGTCTGTGCTGTGTCTGTGCTGTGTCTGTGTCTGTGCTGTGTCTGTGCTGTCTGTGCTGTGTCTGTGCTGTGTCTCTGTCGGTGCTGTGTCTGTGTCTGTGCTGTGTCTGTACTGTGTTTGTGCTGTGTCTGTGTCTGTGCTGTGTCTGTAGCGGTGCTGTCTGTGTGTGTGCTGTGTTTGTGCTGTGCTGTGTCTGTGCTGTGTCTGTGCTGTGTCTGTGTCTGTGCTGTGTCTGTGTCTGTGCTGTGTCTGTGGTTGTGCTGCGCTGTGTCTGTGATGTGTCTGTGCTGTGTCTGTGTCTGTGCTGTGTCTGTGCTGTCTGTGCTGTGTCTGTGCTGTGTCTCTGTCGGTGCTGTGTCTGTGTCTGTGCTGTGTCTGTACTGTGTTTGTGCTGTGTCTGTGTCTGTGCTGTGTCTGTAGCGGTGCTGTCTGTGTCTGTGCTGTGTTTGTGCTGTGCTGTGTCTGTGCTGTGTCTGTGCTGTGTCTGTGTCTGTGCTGTGTCTGTGTCTGTGCTGTGTCTGTGCTGTGTCTGTGCTGTGTCTGTGTCTGTGCTGTGTCTGTGTTGTGTCTGTGCTGTGTCTGTGTCTGTGCTGTGTCTGTGTTGGTGCTGTGTCTGTGCTGTGTCTGTGTCTGTGGTGTGTCTGTGCTGTGTCTGTGCTGTGTCTGTGTCGGTGCTGTGTCTGTGTCTGTGCTGTGTCTGTGCTGTGTCTGTGTCTGTGCTGTGTCTGTGCTGTGTCTGTATCGGTGCTGTGTCTGTGGTTGTGCTGTGTCTGTGCTGTGTCTGTGTCTGTGCTGTGTCTGTGTCTGTGCTGTGTCTGTGCTGTGTCTGTGTCGGTGCTGTGTCTGTGCTGTGTCTGTGCTGTGTCTGTGTCTGTGCTGTGTCTGTGCTGTGTCTGTGGTTGTGCTGTGTCTGTATCTGTACTGTGTCTGTACTGTGTCTGTGTCTGTGCTGTGTCTGTGTCTGTACTGTGTCTGTGTCTGTGGTTGTGCCTGTGGTTGTGCTGTGTCTGTGTCTGTGCTGTGTCGGTGCTGTGTCTGTGTCTGTACTGTGTCTGTGTCTGTGGTTGTGCAGTGTCTGTGCTGTGTCTGTGTCTGTGTTGTGTCTGTGCTGTGTCTGTGCTGTGTCGGTGCTGTGTCTGTGTCTGTGCTGTGTCTGTGTCTGTGCTGTGTCTGTGCTGTCTGTGCTGTGTCTGTGCTGTGTCTCTGTGGGTGCTGTGTCTGTACTGTGTCTGTGCTGTGTCTGTGTCTATGCTGTGTCTGTGCTGTGTCTGTGCTGTGTCTGTGCTGTGTCTGTGTCGGTGCTGTGTCTGTGTCTGTGCTGTGTCTGTGCTGTGTCTGTGTCTGTGCTGTGTCTGTGCTGTGTCTGTATCGGTGCTGTGTCTGTGGTTGTGCTGTGTCTGTGCTGTGTCTGTGTCTGTGCTGTGTCTGTGCTGTGTCTGTGCTGTGTCTGTGCTGTCTGTGTCTGTGCTGTGTCTGTGTCTGTGCTGTGTCTGTATCTGTGCTGTGTCTGTGTCTGTGCTGTGTCTGTGTCTGTGCTGTGTCTGTGCTGTGTCTGTGCTGTGCTGTGTCTGTGCTGTGTCTGTGCTCTGTCTGTGTCTGTGCTGTGTCTGTGTTTGTGCTGTGTCTGCGTCTGTGTGTGTGCTGTGTCTGTGTGTGTGCTGTGTGTGTGTCTGTATTTGTGCTGTGTCTGTATTTGTGCTGTGTCTGTGTCTGTGCTGTGTCTGTGTCTGTGCTGTGTCTGTGCTGTGTCTGTCTGTGCTTTGTCTGTGTCTGTGCTGTGTCTGTGCTGTGTCTGTGTCTGTGCTGTGTCTGTGCTGTGTCTGTGTCTGTGCTGTGTCTGTGCTGTCTGTGCTGTGTCTGTGCTGTGTCTCTGTCGGTGCTGTGTCTGTGTCTGTGCTGTGTCTGTACTGTGTTTGTGCTGTGTCTGTGTCTGTGCTGTGTCTGTAGCGGTGCTGTCTGTGTCTGTGCTGTGTTTGTGCTGTGCTGTGTCTGTGCTGTGTCTGTGCTGTGTCTGTGTCTGTGCTGTGTCTGTGTCTGTGCTGTGTCTGTGGTTGTGCTGCGCTGTGTCTGTGATGTGTCTGTGCTGTGTCTGTGTCTGTGCTGTGTCTGTGCTGTCTGTGCTGTGTCTGTGCTGTGTCTCTGTCGGTGCTGTGTCTGTGTCTGTGCTGTGTCTGTACTGTGTTTGTGCTGTGTCTGTGTCTGTGCTGTGTCTGTAGCGGTGCTGTCTGTGTCTGTGCTGTGTTTGTGCTGTGCTGTGTCTGTGCTGTGTCTGTGCTGTGTCTGTGTCTGTGCTGTGTCTGTGTCTGTGCTGTGTCTGTGCTGTGTCTGTGCTGTGTCTGTGTCTGTGCTGTGTCTGTGTTGTGTCTGTGCTGTGTCTGTGTCTGTGCTGTGTCTGTGTTGGTGCTGTGTCTGTGCTGTGTCTGTGTCTGTGGTGTGTCTGTGCTGTGTCTGTGCTGTGTCTGTGTCGGTGCTGTGTCTGTGTCTGTGCTGTGTCTGTGCTGTGTCTGTGTCTGTGCTGTGTCTGTGCTGTGTCTGTATCGGTGCTGTGTCTGTGGTTGTGCTGTGTCTGTGCTGTGTCTGTGTCTGTGCTGTGTCTGTGTCTGTGCTGTGTCTGTGCTGTGTCTGTGTCGGTGCTGTGTCTGTGCTGTGTCTGTGCTGTGTCTGTGTCTGTGCTGTGTCTGTGCTGTGTCTGTGGTTGTGCTGTGTCTGTATCTGTACTGTGTCTGTACTGTGTCTGTGTCTGTGCTGTGTCTGTGTCTGTACTGTGTCTGTGTCTGTGGTTGTGCCTGTGGTTGTGCTGTGTCTGTGTCTGTGCTGTGTCGGTGCTGTGTCTGTGTCTGTACTGTGTCTGTGTCTGTGGTTGTGCAGTGTCTGTGCTGTGTCTGTGTCTGTGCTGTGTCTGTGCTGTGTCTGTGCTGTGTCGGTGCTGTGTCTGTGTCTGTGCTGTGTCTGTGTCTGTGCTGTGTCTGTGCTGTCTGTGCTGTGTCTGTGCTGTGTCTCTGTGGGTGCTGTGTCTGTGTCTGTGCTGTGTCTGTGTCTATGCTGTGTCTGTGCTGTGTCTGTGTCTGTGCTGTGTCTGTGCTGTGTCTGTGTCGGTGCTGTGTCTGTGTCTGTGCTGTGTCTGTGCTGTGTCTGTGTCTGTGCTGTGTCTGTGCTGTGTCTGTATCGGTGCTGTGTCTGTGGTTGTGCTGTGTCTGTGCTGTGTCTGTGTCTGTGCTGTGTCTGTGCTGTGTCTGTGTCGGTGCTGTGTCTGTGCTGTGTCTGTGCTGTGTCTGTGTCTGTGCTGTGTCTGTGCTGTGTCTGTGGTTGTGCTGTGTCTGTATCTGTACTGTGTCTGTACTGTGTCTGTGTCTGTGCTGTGTCTGTGTCTGTACTGTGTCTGTGTCTGTGGTTGTGCCTGTGGTTGTGCTGTGTCTGTGCTGTGTCTGTACTGTGTCTGTGGTTGTGCAGTGTCTGTGCTGTGTCTGTGTTGTGTCTGTGCTGTGTCTGTGCTGTGTCGATGCTGTGTCTGTGTCTGTGCTGTCTGTGTCTGTGCTGTGTCTGTGCTGTCTGTGCTGTGTCTGTGCTGTGTCTCTGTGGGTGCTGTGTCTGTGTCTGTGCTGTGTCTGTACTGTGTCTGTGCTGTGTCTGTGTCTATGCTGTGTCTGTGCTGTGTCTGTGTCTGTGCTGTGTCTGTGCTGTGTCTGTAGCGGTGCTGTCTGTGTCTGTGCTGTGTCTGTGCTGTGTCTGTGTCTGTGCTGTGTCTGTGCTGTGTCTGTGCTGTGTCTGTGGTTGTGCTGTGTCTGTGTCTGTGCTGTGTCTGTGGTTGTGCTGTGTCTGTGTCTGTGCTGTGTCTGTGGTTGTGCTGTGTCTGTGTCTGTGCTGTGTCTGTGCTGTGTCTGTGCTGTGTCTGTGTCTGTGCTGTGTCTGTGCTGTGTCTGTGTCTGTGCTGTGTCTGTGCTGTGGTGGTGTTTGCGGGTCGAGTTCACACCGCGTGGTTGGCGCTGCCGCTGTGTGGAAACAAATCTCTTTTGTCCCTTTGCCCAGGAAACTCGGAGTTTGTTCTTCTCCGGGAGGGGGAGGAGGAGAAAGAGCGAGGGAGGAGGAGGAGGAGATGGAGGAGGTGGAAGAGGTGGAGGTGGAATATGAGGAGTTGGAGTTGGAGGGAAGAACATAGACATAGAGTAGGGAGCGAGGGGGTAGAGAGAGGAGGTAGAGAGAGAGTGGGGGGTTAGAGAGAGGGGGTAGAGAGAAAGAGGGGGGGTAGAGAGAGAGAAGGGTGGGTTAGAGAGAGGGGGTAGAGAGAGAGGGGGTAGAGAGAGAGGGGAGAGTCGAGACAAAAAATGGGAGGGGGGTTACATAAAGCAAAGCATTAAAAAAAACAAAAAAACCCGAAATGATGAACGGAGCAAAGTGCCGACTAGACCGAGCAGCATCTTCTTCTTCTTGTCTCCTCTGATCGTGCAAAGAAACAAAGAGAGAGAGAGAGAGAAGGAACGAGCCAGCTCCGCCCTTCATTCTTCACCCCACGGGGGCTGCGGGAGAGAGAGGAGGGAGAGAGGGGAGCGGGGAGAGAACTGGGGAGTGAGGGGGAGGGAGGTGGGGGGGAGTGAGGGGGGAGAGGAGAGGGAGGGAGGTGGGGGGGAGAGGGAGGGGGGGGGGAGAGGGAGGGGGGAGAGGGGAGGGAGGTGGGGGGGAGAGGGGAGGGAGGTGGAGGGGGGAGTGAGGGGGGAGATGGAGGGAGGTGGGGGGGGAGTGAGGGCGGTGGGGGGAGGGAGGTGGGGGGGAGTGAGGGGGGAGTGGGGGGGGAGTGAGGGGGGAGTGGGGGGGAGTGAGGGGGGAGTGGGGGGGAGTGAGGGGGGAGTGGGGGGGAGTGAGGGGGGAGTGAGGGGGGAGTGGGGAGCGAGAGGGAGGGAGGTGGGGGGAGTGAGGGGGGAGAGGGAGGGAGGTGGGGGGGAATGAGGGGGAGCGAGAATGAGGTGGTGGGGGGGGGTGAGAACTGGAGACGGGAGGGAGGGGGGAGAACGAGAGGAGGAGCTGAGAGCGCGAAGGAGCGAGCTGCATTTCTTGGCTTCGTCCTTGAGACGAGAGCGAAGGAGACACGAGAGTCGAGACACGAGAGACGAGAGTGGAGAGAGACACGGGCGCTGGGATTCGCGACTCCCTCCCAACGCCCTTCCTCCCCGCCATCCCGGCCCGCGGCTCCGACTCCGCTGCCCGCACGACGCGGGGAGCTGCGCACGGCCTGCGGCGGTCCGGTACGACGGGGCAGGGGGGGAGGGAGAGAAGGGCAGGGAGGGTAGAGTATGGGAGGAGGGAGAAGGGCAGGGGAGGAGGGAGAGGAGGGCAGGGAGGGTAGAGTATGGGAGGAGGGAGAGAAGGGCAGGGGAGGAGGGAGAAGGGCAGGGGGGTATGCTGGGACTCACAGGGAGCTGGGGACCCACGGGGTTGCCTGCCAGCTGCCGCTATTACCGACCCCTGGGAGGGTGCGAACCCCGCCTCGTGCTCCAGGGGACTCTCGTGACCCCTTGTCCCAGGTCCCCTCGCCCAGTCTCCCTCTCTGTCTGCCCCTTTATCTCCCCTCCACATCTCCCCACTCACCCCGACAGGTCTGACATTGGGCAGTCCTCCTGTCTGTGCTGTACTCTCCTCCTTCAGGCCTCGAGCAGTCTCCCTCCCCCGATATCTCCCCGTGTCTCCCAGAGTCTACCTCAGAGTCTCCCTCAGAGTCTCCCTCCCCCGATATCTCCCCGTGTCTCCCAGAGTCTCCCTCAGAGTCTCCCTCAACTCCCAGATCTCTCCGTGTCTCCCTCATCTCCCAGAGTCTCCATCAGAGTCTCTCTCAGAGTCTCCCTCAACTCCCAGATCTCTCCGTGTCTCCCTCATCTCCCAGAGTCTCCCAGAGTCTCCCTCAGAGTCTCCCTCCCCCGATATCTCCCCGTGCCTCCCAGAGTTTCCCTCAGAGTCTCCCTCATCTCCCCGATCTCTCCGTGTCTCCCTCATCTCCCAGAGTCTCCATCAGAGTCTCCCTCAGAGTCTCCCTCCCCCGATATCTCCCCGTGCCTCCCAGAGTCTCCCTCAGAGTCTCCCTCATCTCCCCGATCTCTCCGAGTCTCCCTCAGAGTCTCCCTCAGAGTCTCCCTCAGAGTCTCCCTCAGAGTCTCCCTCAGAGTCTCCCTCAGAGTCTCCCTCAGAGTCTCCCTCAGAGTCTCCCTCAGAGTCTCCCTCAGAGTCTCCCTCAGAGTCTCCCTCAGAGTCTCCCTCAGAGTCTCCCTCAGAGTCTCCCTCAGAGTCTCCCTCAGAGTCTCCCTCAGAGTCTCCCTCAGAGTCTCCCTCAGAGTCTCCCTCAGAGTCTCCCTCAGAGTCTCCCTCAGAGTCTCCCTCAGAGTCTCCCTCAGAGTCTCCCTCAGAGTCTCCCTCAGAGTCTCCCTCAGAGTCTCCCTCAGAGTCTCCCTCAGAGTCTCCCTCAGAGTCTCCCTCAGAGTCTCCCTCAGAGTCTCCCTCAGAGTCTCCCTCAGAGTCTCCCTCAGAGTCTCCCTCAGAGTCTCCCTCATCTCCCAGCGTCTCATCTCCCAGCATCTCCCTCAGAGTCTCCCTCAGAGTCTCCCTCAGAGTCTCCCTCAGAGTCTCCCTCAGAGTCTCCCTCAGAGTCTCCCTCAGAGTCTCCCTCGTCTCCCCGATCTCTCCGTGTCTCCCTCATCTCCCAGAGTCTCCCTCAGAGTCTCCCTCATCCCCCAGAGTCTCCCAGATCTCCCAGAGTCTCCCTCAGAGTCTCCCTCAGAGTCTCCCTCGTCTCCCCGATCTCTCCGTGTCTCCCTCATCTCCCAGAGTCTCTCCGCAGGGGGCGATGACGCATTCACCGCTTTTGTTGCAGTTTGGAATCCTGGTTATCCCTGCCTCGTTACCCCTGCCTGGTTACCCCACCAAGTACTCTTTTGAGGCTGAGTCAACCTAGGGGAAGGCCCAGGAGCCGGTTCAGATAATCGTCACTGGCGGTGTTGGCCGTGAGCGGGAGTCGAACTCGCCTCGCCAGGTTCGTAGCGCAGCGCGCTAACCGCTACACTACCACCCAGCCCTACACTACATACACTACATACACACACACACCACACACACACACTACATACACACTACATACAAACACTACACACACACACTACACACACTACACATACACACCACACACACACACTACACACCACACACACTACACACACACACACACCACACACTACATACACACACTACATACACACCACACACACACCGCACACACACTACATACACACACTACACACACATACTACACACACACTACCACACACCACACACACACACTACACACACACATCATACACACACTACATACACACACTACATACACACACTACACACACATCATACACACACTACATACACACTACACACACACACATCACACACACTACACACACTACATACACACACTACATACACACACTACACACACACATCATACACACACTACATACACACTACACACACACTACCACACACCACACACACACTACACACACACACTACACACACACACACTACATACACACACTACACACTACACACACACTACACACACACATCATACACACACTACACACACCACACACACTACACATCACACACACTACACACACTACATACACACACTACATACACACCACACACACACCACACACACACTACATACACACACTACACACACATACTACACACACACTACCACACACACACACTACACACACACACTACACACACTACATACACACACTACACACACACTACACACACACTACACACACTACACACACACCACGCACACACACACACACCACGCACACACACACACACCACGCACACACTACACACACTACATACACACACTACACACACACACTACACACACACACTACACACACACTACACACACACTACACCCACACAACACACACACACACTACACACACACATCATACACACACTACATACACCACACACACACTACACACACCACACACACTACACACACACACACACCACACACACTACATACACACGCTACATACACACCACACACACACACCACACACACACACTACATACACACACTACACACACATACTACACACACACTACCACACACACACACTACACACACACACTACACACACACACTACATACACACACTACACACACACACTACACACACTACACACACACTACACACACTACACACACACCACGCACACACACACCACGCACACACACACCACGCACACACTACACACACACTACATACACACACTACACACACTACACACACTACACACACACACTACACGCACACTACACACACTACACACACACACTACACACACTACACACACTACACCCACACTACACACACACACCACACACACACACCACACACACACCACACACACACCACACACACACTACACACACATACTACACACACACATCATACACACACTACACACACACTACACACACACTGCACACACTACACACACAACACACACACTACACACACTACACACAAACAACTACACACACACTACACACGCACACTACACACACACACTACACACATACACTACATACACACACTACACACACTACACACACTACAAACACACTCACACTAAACACACACTACACACACACCACACACACTACACACACACACTACATACACTACACACACACTACACACACACTACACACACACTACACACACACACTACACACACTACATACACACACTACACACGCACTACACACACACTACACACACTACATACACACACACTACATACACACACTACACACACTACATACACACACTACACACACTACATACACACACTACATACACACACTACACACACACACTACACCCACTACACACACTACACACACACTACACACACACACATCATACACTACATACACACACTACACAAACTACATACACACACTACACACACACACTACACACACACTACACACACTACACACATACACACACATCATACACTACATACACACACTACACACACTACATACACACACTACATACATACACTACACACACTACACACACACTACACACATACACACACTACATACACTACACACACACACATCATACACTACATACACACACTACATACACACACTACACACACACACTACACACACACACTACACACATACACACACTACATACACACACTACACACACACATCATACACTACATACACACACTACACACACTACATACACACACTACACACACTACACACACACACTACACACATACACACACTACATACACTACACACACACACTACACACATACACTACACACACACATCATACACTACATACACACATTACACACACTACACACACTACACACACTACACACACACACTACACACATACACACACTACACACATACATACACTACATACACACACTACACACACACACACTACACACATACACTACATACACACACTACACACACTACACACACACATTACACACACTACACACACACACTACATACACACACACACTACACACATACACACACTACACACAATACATACACACACTACACACACACACTACACACACACACTACACACATACACACACTACATACACTACACACACACTACACACATACACTACAAACACACTCACACTACACACACACTACACACACACTACACACACAGTACACACACTACACACACACACTACACACACACTACATACACACACTACACACACTACATACACACACTACACACACACACTACACACACACTACACACACATCATACACTACATACACACACTACACACACTACATACACACACTACACACACTACACAGACACTACACACACACTACACACACTACATACACACACACTACATACACACACTACACACACTACACACACACATCATACACTGCATACACACACTACACACACTATATACACACACTACACACACACACTACACACACTACACACACACGCTACACACACACACACTACACACATACATACACTACATACACTACACACACACACCACACACACACACTACACACACTACATACACTACATACACTACACACATACACACACTACACACATACACACACTACACA